GGTGCTGATAAGAGCAGGCACCCCTAGCACTCCTGGGGAGACTCCATCTATTGGTGGGGAGCAGCACCTGCTGGAAAGCGGGTCCAGCGTCCCTGAACATTCCTATTGTTTGTTTGTTTGATTTAGAAGAGTTGTCGCCTAAATTGTGACTGTACTGACAGCAGTCTGAGGGGCCCTCCTGTGAAGGAGGGATTCTAGAGTGCACTGTAGCCTGGGTTGAATGCAGTCCTTTTTCCTCCCAAATGCCCAAGGTCCTTGTTTCTAGCCTAGGAAGTGGGAGGCGACCTCCTCCTTTTCTTCCTTTCGTTGACATGTCTCTGAAGAAATCTCTGGTTGGTGTGTTGCTCGTCAGATACAACTGTCAGGTCTCTCTTTGCCTTTTATCTCTCCCTACACGATTGATATAGCAGGCCTTTGTGGCCTTACAGAAATCTAATGGCTGCAGATAAGAGCTGGCTTCCTCTTTTTGGTGCACTGTCTGTGGCACGAATCTCAAACTGAAAGAAAGCCTCAGCATCTATCAATCCAGCACCCCCTGCCCCACCCCCAACACATACAGACACATGTGATTGCCAGAGACCCTGCCAATACCCACTGGCGTGAGCAGGACAACTCCCTCAGTTGGTTGGCACCAAGCATGCTCAGGCAGTCGGTGAACCCGTGGCCTAGCTCAGGGCGTACTCACACTAGCAGTATCTCAATCGTATCGGACCGCATTGACGCCATACCTGGATGTCTCTGGACACAGTTCCCTCCAAAATACGTAAAAATGTTGTAGTGTGAGTAGGCCCTCACCTGGTTAGGCATCGGGCCTCGCTGCACTACTCTTGAAATGCACAAAAGACAAAAATCATGGCCGTGTATCTGTCCATATTCTAGCGGAAGATTCACTCTCGTTTTGCACATTTCGAGAGTAGTGCAGCGAGGCCCATCGGTTTGGCATCTGCAATGAAAAAAAGATGGGGAACCAACTGGCCTAGCTCAGTTTATCAGCAACGAGGATTGGATTTAATTTATGAATCTGGATGTGTTTTGGGCAGAGATGCAGAGAAGCAGATCAAGAGCAAATCTATGTATCTGTCCACAAACACTTCCAGATTCAAGAATTAAATCCAATCCTCTTCCCTGAGGGGACCAGGCCCCTGATCTCCACGGACGCAGATGAGCAAGCTACTACAGCTCTGAATTACCTGGGCCCTTCAGTTCGATGATCATATTCTGCTGAAAGAAAGCAAAAAAAAAAAATCATAAAACAAAAAAAAGAGGATAATGCAGGAAACCCCGTGGATCCTGTTCTAAGCCGTGGGCACTGGACCGTCTTTCATAAAAATTTCGTCGCGGGGGAAAAAAAAACGAAAACGAAGTACGTGGATGTCTTCGACTTACACATCCTGTACGTGGACCTATTCCGCCCAGCTTACGCAGATCCACATCCACGTGCACCCGCACACGATCACGCGTGCACATGCAGAGACATGCTCGCAGACACACATGCACATGCACGCGCTCGCACACGCTCAGGCATGCATATGATCGCGCACGGTCAGACATGGATATGCCCGCACATGCAGCATGCACACGCTTGCCAGTGCGCATGCACACACATGCACTCACGTACATACAGCATGCACACACATGCACTCACGTACATGCAGCATGCACACACTTGCACTCACGTACACGCAGCATGCACACACATGCACTCACGTACATGCAGCATGCGCACACATGCACTCACGTACATGCTCGCACATGCAGCATGCACACGCTAGCACATGCACACATGCACACACACGCTTGTTGACGCGCGCACGTCGATGCAGATGCACACACACTCACTCACGTAGTTGAACAATACTTGCTTTGCAGAGAGCATTGTCACAGAGGGGGCAACCCGATCCTGACTACCACCCCGCCCCTTTGGTCCGTCTCCTCTTCATCATCGCCCTGATCCGAGCCATCCTTATCGTTGTCACGAGAACGGGCATAGCCCTAACATTGCTGAATTTACACGTCGACTGTAAACCGTGAGTGGCAGCATTGTCAAAAACTAGAAAAAAGAAAAGAACAAAAAAAAAAAAAAACTCAGCGTGGCATTTACTTCCGCATTTTTCTCTCGATCCGTTGTAACTCTCTCCTCCTCCTAGGGCACAGTTCCAAGTACCCCGAGTACCCGCTTCTCGCCTTACGATCGAGAAAGAAGAATCGAGGCAAGAACGGCCTCGCCCCCACCCCACGTGTTCTCAGACTGTGCTGGCGTGAAGATGACAAGTCATTGAAGAATCTAGAGATTGAGAAAGAAAGAAAAAACATTGGCGAGAATATGACAAGCCGTTAAAGGATTCGCAAGAAGAAACCCTCTGGCTATTGAAAACCGTCATCGAATCATGAATATCAAAACCACAGTTTCTACCCATCGCAGCCAAGGAAGAGGAGAAAGCGTTTCAGACCGACCTAGAGTAGGCCCGAAACTCTGGGACTATGGTACCCTGAATCGCCAGCCATCTCTCTCTCATAAGGCAATAACGAACGAGACGAAAGCCATGACGAAAGTAAGGAGATGAAGAAAGGTAATGAGAAGAGAGAGGGGTGGCGGCCTCAGACGTCGGCTGGCGTCGGAGCATACGTGCAGGTGGGACCGGTTAATCTCCAGCTCGAACAGGCGGCCGTCTGTAGCTCCTATGTACAGGAACAGCCGACCTTCCAGTTCCTGAAGAGCCAGGCTTCCGATCCCCGTGGTCTCGTAGCCGTCGTAGCGCGCCACAACCTCCTTGCTCCGTGCCCTGCCGCATCTTCTCGTCATCTTCACCCATACAAGCCCAGTCGAAGCCGGATAATCAACGGCACCTGTGATGAACAGATTACAACCGTCCGATGTCGCTGCGATATCCGTCCGTGCAGTATACGGAGTCCGGGAATGCGAAAAGGCGAAAGGCTTCGTTTTCATGCCAGGGCCCAGCACTCGAGTGAGTTCGGAGGTCGAGGGATCGACTCCAAACACCTCCATCGGATACTTATTCATAAGGTACATGCACCTTCCGCTAGGAGTGACGCTGTGAGGGCTGAAATAAGCCCCGCCGGGAACGTAGTCTATCTCTGGATCAGGCGGGCTGCCCAGTCGGTGTACGATGTGAAAAGGGTCCCGCTCCCGATCACGACCGTCGGATGTAACCGGGTAACCGGATTCGTCCACGTCAGCAGACGCTAGACGGACCCAGAGACGGCCGCCGGTGAGTAAACTGGAAGGGGAGAGGAAGTTTTCAGTGGCGAAGAGTTTTGTCTTATTACGATCGAAAGCTATCCCATCAACCGAAGTCACGTCACCCGTCAAAGACATGATTAACGATCGACTGCCGTTGATCGTTGACAGAGACATAAGCACCGGCGGCGTTGGCTGCATTGACCCGCTGTGCCTGAACGAAACCAAGACCAGATGCGTGCCAGTCTCGGCGATGTCCATGCCGTAGATTGTCGCCATGATTGGCATGTTCTTGTCTTTCTCGTAAAGAATGGGCGATGAGACTCTCTCCCCGTCGGTACTGTCTACCGGCCACCAGTAGCTTAACACTGCCTCGTCTGCAAGAGGCTTCGACCCCTGCCTCATGGGCAGCAGATCTGCGTGCCGCACTGACATCTCTCTAAAGGTTAAGCTCACATAGGAAATCCCCACAGACTCACTCGCTTCTAAGTTTCGTTGATAAGTACGGTTGCGTGTGATGCAGCTCTGCTCGAGGATAGCGAAAAACTGCGTGCTGTTGGGGAGAAACACTACATTTCTATAAATAGATTCGCACCTATAACCCAAGCCGGAAGATTCATCGAACGGCGATGGGATGGCATTGAAAGGCGCCTCTGGTGTGTGAACGAGCACGGCCCTCGGCGTCCCAGCTGTGCCGTTGACGTCACGTACAAACAATTCCTGCTCGAGAAGGGTGACGGACGGCAAGACATCTTCTGAAGCCAGCGACCGGTCGCCGGCGGGACGGTTGCCGTGGTAGTAATCCGTTTGGACGCCAGGCGAGGCCCCATGACCGTTGGAGTACGCAAGGGAATCGCCCATAGCCATGGCAGATGACGGGAAAAGATGACGGTCTGTCTTTTTTTGAGCGACAACGACGAAGCCGATCATGCAACTGCAGAGTGTGGACAGGAAGAGCAGCCGCAATGTCTGCTGTGCTATTGCACAGAAAGAGCCGTACCGCGTCCACCAGCAAGCAGAAGCCGCCATATATCCGCCGACCTCGTTCTCGAACGGTCGAACCAGAACCGCTTATCTCGCTTCCGTTCGGTTTCCCAAAAAAGGCACACACACAAACTGTTTCGCAAAAAAAAAGAAAACAAATGCTATGATCCTGGTTCGTTGATGATGGAGAACTCAAAATTAAGACAATCCCCTCGCAGCTCGAGAGAGAGAGAGAGAGAGAGAGAGAGAGAGAGAGAGAGAGAGAGAGAGAGAGAGAGAGGAGGATAAATTTAGGCCAACGTCATTTCCCTGCTCATCTAGCCACCTCATCAAAGAAGAAGAAGAAGAAGAAGAAGAAGAAGAGAAGAAGAAGAAGAAGAAGAAGAAGAAGAAGAAGAAGAAGAAGAAGAAGAAGAGGAGGAGGAGGAGGAGGAGGAGGAGGAGAAATTTAGGCCAACGTCATTCCCCTGATCATTTACCCACCTCATCAACACTGTCAAACTTGCCGCCTCCTCTTATTTATCATACAACCTGAATGAGCGAACAAAGATTCAATGACGGATGAATCTACTACTACTGCTGCTCGAGAAATTACCTCCTTTTCCCTGTCCAGCTCGCTTCCCACCGATAGCACGGCCGCTTGATGGAGGACATATCCGCACTGAGGTCACATACGTGAATATAACAAACCAATGAAGTGCTTCAGAGCATCCACGCCGCCGCTTCACTAGCCACTGTAGCCAGGGATATGACGCAGATGTAACCATGCGGCTTTTGTGTGACAGAATAAAAAAAAATCGAACATGGCCCTACCCCCTCGATGTATCTAGACTCAACCAAAGTCCAGATAGTCTATCCAGGGGGTATGGCGTTCTGAACTTCGGCTGAGTCCAGATACATGGAGGGGCTAGGGCGTATCCAGCGGGTAGGGCCTTGTCAGAACTCCGTACCCAAAATTTCATCAAAATTTGGCCCCAGTTTGGATTTTCATTTATAATATCTCCGTTTTGACGAAATTGCTGTTGTACTCTGTGTGCTGTCAGTCTTATAATGCTGTGCTGTCAGTCTTATCATGGTGTAGGAATGTTGTCAGTCTTAGGGCCAGATCCCACTAGCCCCTATTGTTCATTTCTGACCGTTGATCTTCGTAGTCGAGGGTGAAAAATGAATAATCCAGGGTAGTGGGATCCGACCCTTATAATCCGCGCCCTACGGTAGTTACCCCAAGAAAGATCTTCTTCTGTTCCTCTGGTTGCATCTGGATTTGAACTCGACTGAAGCCGAGGCCAGGGCAAGTGTAGCAAGTGTTCTCTCTGAATGTGGGCCTCGCCAGACCACTGTCAAAAAAAGGAATTTTTGGCAGTTTTTCTTTGCCACAAAGCCATTCACAACTGGAGGCGGGATGTCAGAGAAAGTTTTTTGAGACCTCCTTCCGAAAGAGGTTTCATCCGCAGCCTGCAACTTTGACGTTTTCAACAGCCATCCACTGCGCTATTGAGTTCGGGCCTGGTTGCACTGCTCTCCATAGGCCAAGTTTGGCGAGTAGGCGCCCGCCGCCTGGTTGCACTGCTCTCCATAGGCCAAGTTTGGCGAGTAGGCGCCCGCCGCCTGGTTGCACTTACTCGCCAATCTTGGCAAATGAAAAATATGTCAGACTGCTTGCCACACCGTCGACACAAGTAGTGGCGAGTGTTTTCGGTTTCCCTACCTGTGCACGGCGGTTAAACTTTGTGGAGGGTGGTCCTCGGATCTCTCCACAAAACAACTTTCTGGAGAGTGCACGGCTTGATGAGTAGAGATCAGGCAGACAAAAAAGAAAGAACTTTTCTGTAGAATAAATATTGTGGCGAGTAAGTGCAACCAAGCCTCCAGTTCTAGAAGATTCTCATTTTTTTCACTCTCCAACCATCCGCCACGAATTGTTCCCGATGGAGAGTAGTGCAACTAGGCCCTTCTCCTTGGAATTAGGTGAATTGGCCTGAGGTTGGGACGGACGAATGCTTGTCCTATCCTCAGGTGTGTTTGTCTCTTTTTATCTTCCATTCACGAGTTGGTCACTTCAACAGTGCTGTATGGCGAAGGTGGGGGGCCCTTTAGGGCTTTCATTAAGCTTGATAATTTCACCGGGAATCCCTCCACATACAACCCGGAAAGTACAAGTCTGGGACCATTACCCAGTTTAGGTGTAGGTGTTGGGACGAAGCCTGGGGACAGAAGTCGTGAAATCCGGACTGCTGCCTGACATTCTGCAACCCTGGGAATAAAAAGCCGAGCACAATCCAAGAGCAAAAACAGAAAAAAGGACAGAAAACGAAAAGATACCACAGGGTCACAACACCACACAAACCCAAAGGGAGGGAGCTAACTACCTCCATTGCTAAGGGCGTACTCACACTATCACTTTCCAAAATGCATCAGACCCCAATTTCGGCCACACCTGTATGCATCTGGCCGCAATTCCGTCCAGAAATAAGTGAAAAAGTCCTAGTGTGAGTATGCCCTGAATCTACAAGCGAGTGATCCAAGATGAGATCTCGTCCATTCTAACGCTCCCTCCATCCACATCACCAATCTGGCCGTCCACATCACCAATCTGGCCGTCTACTGTGACAACACAAGCAACCGAGCATCCCAGGTTGGTCACACGGTCACAGTAATAACCAATCATCCAATACTACCTTATCCTTCCCCACCACAGAAGCCAACATGCTCCGTAGCCGCCAAGTCTCTTTGAACCATTTCAATCC